TTCCAGTTATCGGCACTTGTTCCTTTGTTGTTACTTTGATGTCTGACTTCAGTGCTTCAGCTGGTATATTGTCGGGTCCTTCTGCTTTCTCGCTCTTGATTTGTCTGATGGCCATTCTCATTCCTTCCGTGGATTGACATCTATAGGAAGATCTGCGTGAGCTGCTTCGATGTCCGGTGGATTCATTGGAGCCGGACTATTCAGGAGTTCCTCAAAGTATTCTACTAATATGTTTCGCTGTTGTTGAATTTCGGTGATTGGCCTGCCTTCTTTGTCCTTGACTGGTCTCTCTGGTTTACTGTATTTCCCTGATAGTTTCTTCGTTGTATCGTAAAGTTGTTCCATATTTCCTTCCCTTGCAGCTTTTTCCACCGTCGTTGCTAGTTCTTCCATGTATTTCTTCTTGTCGGCTCTAATGCTCTTCTTCACTTGCTTGTTTCCTTTTGTGTACTCAGCTTGTGCTTGGACTTTCTTTGCTCGTGTTCGGCTGTTGTTGATTGCTGTCTTATTGTTCTTTTCCTTGATCCTGTCCAGTGTTTCTATAGAGATCCATTCCTTATGATGATGCTTCCTCAGGCCCAGAACCTCTTAACACGTTGAAGTTAATGATTCTTTGATGCCTTTCCAGTTGTTCTCCATACTAGTTTCTTCTTCGTTCAGTAGATCTTGTAAGGCTTGGAACCTGTTGTTGAGAGCTATCTTGAATTCATTGAGTTTGACAGTATCTCGAAGGAAGGCTGTATTGAACCTTTGTAGTGTTGCTTGTCCAGTTGTCCGGTTTTTCTTTAGCTTCAGTTTTAAATTAGCCACAACTATGTGGTGATCCGAAGCTATATCAGCTCCTCTCCTGGTTCTCAAATCTTCCATTGTCCTTCGGAACTTTTTATTGATGCAGATATGATCTATCTGGTTCTCTGTGGTGCGCTCCGGTGAGATCCTTGTAGCTCTGTGTATACGTTTGTGGGGAAATATTGTGCCTCCTATGACCAGTTTGTTGGATGCACACAAATTTGCAAATCTTTCTCCATTTCCATTTCTCTCTCCCAATCCATATCGTTCCATGATATCTTAATATCCAGTGTTGTCTATTCCGACTTTGGCGTTTAGATCTCCCATCAGAATGGCGAGGTTGTTCCTTGGGCACTTCTCTATGATTGAGGACACGTCTCTTAAAATAAAACTAGTACTTAACAAGAACACACTGTCCAGACTGGCATCAGCAACTGATCTAGGGGTACATTACTCACACACTGTCATATCTCAACCAAAGCATCTAAAATGCGGAGATTGCTTGTCTTCATTTTTCGTAATTTCGTTCAAAATGAATCTAAAATCATTCTTTATAAAGTCTGTGTAAGATATATCGTTGAATATTGTTCGTTCTTATTTTCCAACCTACACCTATCCGATATACTTAAGGTGGAAGGAATATAACGAGATTTCACTCGCAAAATACTTAAGAACGACACACTTGTTGACTACAGTTCCTGATGCCATATCTTAGAACTTGAACCCCTTTGGAAAAGAAGGCTTAGGTCCAATTTGGTTCTTTAATTCAAACTCCTCACAAACCTGACTTATTCCACATGTAATATAGCTCTTGCCCAATACACACATGAATACGACCTTCAACACAAAGTATCCACGGTCAAAGTTGAGAAATACAAATCAAAAACTCGGGAAAACTTCTTTCTCATTAGGTATGCATTAATATGGTACAGTCTTCCCTCTGAAATACGCATGACAGATGAATTACATACGTTTGTAAGACTTATTGATCAAGCCCTCACTTCCAGAGATCTAGCGCAAACGATCACATCTGCGACCCACAGAAACATCACAGGATCTCTACATGTATAGACCAAATAGCCTTATCTTCCTACTTTGTAGTTGTATCAGATACGTTTTCGTTTCTAATTTTCTACTTGGAGTAGACAGGTAAATCACTGGACCTATCGATACTGAGTCGTTAAGAGACGCTCACTACTATCATAAAAAGTCGAAAGAACCGCACAATCGCCTACCTACTACCAGTGGTCTTTCACCTATGAAACCTTTTACCCATCAACCACTTAGGATAGAACAAAACGACACCAACATTAAGTTAATGTGGGTTTTTTCTTCTTCTTTATCAACCTTTTACTCTCCAGTACACTATGTTGACTTGCCATTAATATTATTTCACCACTCTTTACCTTATCTATAACTCATGTATTTCTATACTTTTCCGCCTACTTTGGTAAACAAATACCCTACAGTATACCCTTCTTAAAGCTTATTCTCTGATTAGCAACCTATAATTTATAATATAATCAATGGAAACATTGCATCGATGACTTACCCACAGTCCATAGTTTGTAACTGCATGATAAGCTTGTAAAATGGTACTTATAGAAATAGTGTTTTCCAACAGGATGTGAAACACAGAGCATTGTGTGAAGTATGATATATATTCAAAAAATAGGCTTAAATGAACCTAACGTCACAGACGGAGGGAGGGTAGAGTTACTGACCAGCAAGCATTGATGGTGAAGGCGACGACTTCAATCCACCCATGTTTGTGGGGCAGAACATTTTGTTTGTATCAGGCTCTTGATGTTTGAGAACAAGTCAATCAATCTGTGATATTGAGGGGCAAGACTTTAATTTGTGGATGAGCCAATGAGAAGCGTTTGAGAGATTTCAAAGTCAAGGCGCTAAACTTCAGTGCTTAATGTTAACGTACGTTGGGTTCACAGGGAATTTTAAACAAAACGTGATAATTGAGCGGCTATAACAAATAAAACGGCGAGACTATAGTTTGTGAACGAGTCAATCATGTATAAGATAACAGATCTCAGCTTTTGGCGCGAAAGCCTTTCGTCCATAGATTTCTGGCATTATAGCTGATGTTATTTCGTGATGAAAAACCTTTATATAATTTCTAACTAATGCAAATTATGACAATTATTTCGAATCGGTTAATGAAAGCCTCAGTAACACTGGCTGCAGCAAGCGTACAGACCCCTACATAGGCTTGGTTATATGCATCGTGTCGTTGTCCACAAGTGGCATTTTCGCACTCGACAACCGGAGTGCATACAAACAATATAGAAGCTATGTGGTGGAAGCTGAAACAGTTTTTGAGACTTTATCATGGTTCCAGTGGCTGACTATTCTGTAGCCATACGGGACGATTTCCTTTACTGCATGCATTACGATTTTAGGACCTCTAAACCCCTTTCTAACCTTGGCAAGTTTTTTAACCACGTACAAGAAGTGTACCCACTTTATTTCTTTGGTTTCCCATAATATATTTTTCCCTCTACATTGACTGTTTGCAATTGGCTAGTACTTATCAAGGCCACTTGAGATTCGTCCAAAGGTCGTCCATAAATTATAGTATCGCCAGACAACCTATAATATGCTAATTCGAACTTTTACATTAAGAGTATGTGTCAGGCATCGGGTGAAAAAAATCAGAAAATAATTTATCATACCTCTGTCCGTTTCACTACAAAATGCTAAGTATTGTTTATCGTTCATATTCAAGTGCCTTGCTGCTCCTCGGTTTCCTTTTTTTTCAGAATCTTGCTCTGAGGAACTTTTGACATCTGGCACAAACTAGATTTACGTGTCTTCCCAAGGCCATAGTTCACAACAAGCGCTCTACAAATTTACTTTAGAACAACTATAAACTTGAAAAGTTGCATTGCATAAGTACTTCGCATGACCAAAATCCTAACACAATTATGCTGAGATTGGATCTGGTATGTAAGGTGGGCACAATGCCACTTTGTAGAATATTTTGAAGACTACCCATTATATCTGAAGGAATGAACTGATATTCACTTTTATAGAGTATATTCAATTAACATGCATACTGTGAAATAATAAATGTTGTAATTCATGGATCATGCCTGTAAAAATAGTGTGTACCTGCCCTTACAGAAATATATGTTATTATATCTTCGAACCTCTTCGTTTCTGACTTTTGACCTGACTCGTTTGGCACATTTCGATAATAAAATATGGTACTGGTTAAGGTGGTGTCAAACTCCGAATACTTGTGTCATCTTTACTGTGTTAAACATTACACTGTTCGCTTCAGTGTCCAAGACACAGTCGTAACAAGAAGAGGAGCAGCTTATAGTGAGCTGAGCATTAGTGACAACATTCGAGAAGCGTTAGGTTTTCTAACTCTGCTTTTTCTTTATACGTAAAGAGTTTAGGATGAAAACGTGTATCGATGAACGATGGTTAGCACTGGAATTCAGGAAAGGAAGCGTGGTTCGTCCTATTTGGGGCTCGCCAGCTGGATGTACCTTCATCTCAGAGTTGATGCTCACTCAGGACTCGAACCCAGTAACGTTCGCTTCGAACGCTATTGCGTTATCCACTTGGCAACTAGGTCCTGGAGGCCACTCACTGATGTTTAGGACTGTAATTGATCAGTCTCTTATTGGCACGTGTGTGTACTGTACTTACTGCCTCGAGGTTGCCCTAATTTACAAGCATTATAAGCAAAGAGGGATAGTGGCTAGCACTGGAACCCAGAACACGCGTTTCTTCCTAAGGCAATATCGAGGTAGTCCGCACTGGACACACATATGCCAACAAGAGGCTGATCAGTTACAGTCTTAAAGAACAATGGGAAGATACAAGCAAACAACACCAAGTGAATTTGAAAACGTGTATGTCTATCCTTATTATCTATTCACTTTTGTCCATAAGTTAAATCAAGGCCTGAATAGACTATAATTCTGAGTTAAAATGTGTCTTGTACATTGATACAGAGGCTAAAGTTTCGTGAAACGATTAGGATAAGAAAAACTAGCCTTTGAAGCGTCCGAGGAACGAAACTTTTGCTTTTCTCATTTAAATGACTATTCTCACATCTAATAACGCCATCAAAAAAGTAAAACCAGGAAGCTCATTATATTTTTTCTTTTCTCTTATGTGTAAAAGTTACCAATTTTAAATATATATTTATCCGGTTGTTTTACAGGTTCAAGTTACTTGTACTTAAACGTTCAGCCGCCAATAAATTTTCCTAATTTGCGTGGTTTATGGCTGTCACTCGGATAGCGATCGTTCTTGGGGAATTATTAGATGAAGGGCAAAAATCATCATTGGTAAAGGATGTGATTCAAGGTATGTGTAATTCAAACACACTTAAATTTGTCAAATAGTAGATCTGTGACTATTTAGCAGGTGTGTACCCACTATAGTTGTCGCTACCATTGTGTAGCTACATTTTCGTCTGATCGATAAACTGTCTTAAGAGTTATTGCGTAAAGCAAATGTTTGGTATTGAAAGGTTTTAGTGAAAGTTTTGAATTTTACCTCTAGCCATATGTTTTACACACAATGCCAAACGGTCGATTTCTTTCACCACACACATTATTCGGTAACAAATATTTAAAAGCCGATCGACTTGGTAAGATGTTTGCAGTCGAAATCATCGTGTTGACTGAAATTCTCAGACTGTGTAGATGTCACATTTTCCTTTGTAGTAATGGGAATCGTCGGTTGACTAAGTTAACCCTTGTAGCGAATTTCATAGATCCACATGGTGGCCGAGATAAGCTTCTAAATATAAACGAATGGTTTTTCAAACTCTGGACAATCGCCTCATGTTGACGTAGCATCATAAAGACCAGGTTTCTCAGTACTCGAGTTTTCTTCAAACTCCGTAACTTTCATGTTTGGAACACAGGGTTTTTGCTAAGATATATACGCTGGGTATAAAATCGAAACTGAGTTCACGACTGTGGCAATAATCATGTAGTATATGGCAGAAATTTTCCTGGTTCGGTAGTGTATCCAACCACATCCTCAGAATTATGACGACAGTTTCTTCTGTAGTGTTATTGTGGTCGCATATGGCTCACCTGATTTATGTTCATGTTTTTGGATAGAGAAGGAAGGATAACCACTTATTTACTATTTTTGTCCAGTATGACCTACACAAGTATTCTCGATTAGTGTAAGTAATTTGTAAATCAGTAGTATATAAGGTAGGAGTTTTAAATAATTTGTTCAACGTTTTAGCTCATCCCCTATAGTATCTCGATGTATTTCTGTTCATATGTTCTCACTAAGGATACTTGTCGAATATCTTGAACATTTATCAAGACGATGTTAACTTGTAAGTCAGCTGACTGATAAGCTTTGTGACAGTGCCTTGAATCGATTGCATTAATAGCGGCTTGTTTGATTGTCTTTCATCTGATGATATTCATCAAGAATGTTCAATCTTTCAGGTTTCCATGTAGGGGATTTTACTGCAGTCGTATAAGAAATAACGCGTTTCAGCGTTATCATTTTAACAGTAATGAGTTGTTAGTATCATTGTTTTAGAGATCTCATTCACAGTGGTTAAGAGGTAAGTCCTCTTATAGATACATGAGGTTTGTGTTTACCACCGACGCATCAACCCATGTGCGTATTTTCGGTCTTTTGGCAGACTATGAATAATTCTTATACTTATTTTGTCACCATTCTCATCCGTTCTAGTTCATTTCAAGATAATTTTGGATTTCTTTGTGCTTGAAGTTAAAATAGTCCACTGTTGCTATAGGTTATTCGTTCGCCCACTCATTAATGGTCATTTCTTTGGTAGCACTTAGGGCTGAAATGTAAACTTATTGAATCGTGATTGTTCTAAAAGTCAAGTTTATTTTTGGTTCGTACCAAGAAATTTGATCTGCATGATAAAATATAGTATAGCACATTTCCAGTATTATTTCATTTTCTCGAAGGTTTAATTATATTCAAAAAATTTCCCTTCAGGTTTGAGTACATGTCCACCAGATTTTCTGCTAAAGATCCAATCTCATCTGGATAAACTGACAAGCAATCAACAGTGTTCATCTGAGTGTGAGTTAACCTACTTTTACATTTCTGGTTTACCTACATTTCAGTCTTTAAACCGTGAAAGCATAAAATGATAAACTATTTGTGGCTATTATCTTACTGTTAATACAGAAATAATTTTATGCCTCTTGCTCAGTCTAGTTACTTTTAGAGCGGTAGTATGAAATGAGAATGATATTGGCTACAAATAATGTTCGACTAAGCATATACTTATTTAATACTCTTCTGTGGTTAGCAATTGATCAGGCCTACGCTGTACATGCAGAATAACTTTCTCACTTAAAATGCAATGCTCAAACTCTGCCCTCAGTGAATTTACAGAGTTCTTACGTTTTTGAGAGAATATCGATTAATCTCACCCGAGTAATAGTTCTGATTTTGAATATTTCTCTTTTTTGGTCCCATTTCTACGATTTCAGTTTTACGAAAAATTAAAAATCGTTGTGTAGTCATCCGATTCTAAAACCGATGATGGGGAACTGAGTAGGTTCTATAATGTACTTGGTCCCACGTCGCATTTTTCCTATAGTGTGATGTATGTAGTTCCAATTTCATAATATCTACGTCTTTGCTTTTCACTCTGATAACTAAGCTGTCTTTGAAAATTATTGAATGGTAAACTACTGGTGTTCGATGGCAGATATATTGAGATTGGATGACAATAAAACTAACACTTCGTTATTTGTTCTCCAGGTTTTATGTGGAACCTCCTATGATGTAGAAGAATTACTGAATTATAGAAATTGAACTTTGTAGTTCCAGTTCATGTAGAACTGGTTTTTTAATATCGTCAATATTGATTGTTAGATGAGCTTTCCAAATTCAACTTTCCTATAATCCAACGACCAGCATTCTGTCCATTCATTTAACAATCCCCAAACATCTTCCATCGTAAATCATACAATCTTCCTTCGTGGTGAACGTCCGGTCGTAACAGTGAATCGGCTGTTCGGCTTTGAAACTAACAGTCATTTGCCTTATCTACAACAATATTTTTCACGGATTTCAAATACTTGTTTACCATCCTAGTTTCAATTTGTGTTTATTACCTCAGAATGTTCATTCTTTTAATCTAGCTTTGTCCCATTATTTATCACGAGTTCGTATTTTATCTATCGCATACTATTTGTCCTGGAAACTGCTCAGATATGCTCATATTTGGTTTAAGTTTTGTCTAAGACTGGTATATAGTGACTCCGAGATCACCTTGTATGTCCAGTTGACAGTTTATTTAGCTTGTATGCGTGTATTGAATTTTGCTGATTAAAACTTTTTCTACTTACTCCTGCAGTTCCTAAAGAATGAAATCCATTGTCGTTCGGTTATTTCACCATTCTCAGTTTTACATTAGAGAGACTAAAATTGTTTAAAATATTTAACGTAAATTGTATATTGTCTGTTCATCATCAGGTATTTTCTCTTACAAAGAGGAAGATTTTGAATTCCTAACATTATGTCGCCCATCTTCATCTGGAATTACGTCGTTATTAACAAATTTTCTTCAACCACCAAAAAATTCTGATGTCACTCTTAATGTTATTCTTATATACGCTGGTTTATTATCGGAGGGATCAGCTCATTGGTTGTTACCCAACTTTGTGTTAACACCCACATTCTTGACTGATTTTGTTCAACATTTGTCTACTCTACATCCTAAACCAGTAAGTAACTATTGACTGTCAATTCACATCATGTTACACTAAATGAATATTTTCCTCTAGAGTTTTTCTGTGTAAGGTACAAGAGAACGCTAATACACATGCGCCACACAAAACAATGAGAATTTGAAGAGAAAGAAAAAAAAGATAAGGAGCGTGAAAAAAAGAAACAATAACGAAGAGGTTGGTGTAGGGTAGTGTAGTAATAATAATAGTAATAATGTGGGAACGGAAAGGTACAATCAGAAGAAATCTTTCAGTTAAGGGAGACAACCACTTTTTATGAAGAAAGTAACAAAAGTTTACACCAGGATCGCCACTGGCTTCTATTCTGAGCCATATCTGATAACGTCTCTAGCCACTGTGTAGCACCATCTCTCGGACCCTAACCAGGGAGTCGTGAAGGACCGACAGAAGCCAGTCCTTTGCAGCTTTCTTTCATACCACGACACCATGTCATGCACTGACCACCTCTCCGCTTCTTCCAACCAGTCCCAGAGTCGGCAAATAATGCACGACGTGGAATTCTCTGGGACGACATTCGTAGAACATGTCCAAACCAACGAAGTCGATGTTTCAAGATGGTGACACCAATTGAATTATCGTCTCTGATCCCGAACTCACGATGCCGAACCTCTGCATTACTGACATGGTGTTGCCACTGGATGTCAGCAGTCCTCCGGACACAGCGATGATCGAACACAGAGAGTCTTCTAACGTCCTCAACTCGGAGAGGCCAGGCTTCACAAGCATAGAGCAAAACTGCTCTTACCGACGCATTGTAGATCCGACCTTTTACAGCCAGATTAACATCACGAAGGCGCCAAAGGTGGCCCAGATTGGCATAAGCCGCTCTGGCTTTCACTATACGTGCATTGATCTCATCACTCACACCCCCACCAGCACTTATGCAGCTACCCAGATACTCGAACTTCTCGACTACGTCTATCTGCTCACCATCCAGGGTGAGTACAGGATTGGAATCCTGCCAGTCTTGTAGAAGTACTTTGCACTTCGAAGGTGCAAAGCACATACCATACCTACGGACACTGATTGCCAACTGATTAAGTGTGGATTGCATGGCATTTGTTATTGTCATTTGTTATTGAATATTCAGATATAGTAAAGCGTAACTGTGTAGATAATATCTTCATTTTTGCTTAATAAGGAAATAAATAATTGACTTCGTAGCTATATAATGATACTGTGCAAGCTAGTTGAACAGAACAGTTAGAAAATGATTATTTAAATGTTACTAAATATTTGCTAACAGGTTATATGCGGGCTTCTTTATGTGAAGTGTATGGCAATGATGTATGCTATGCACTCCTTGTTACTGTCTATCCTAACATTAGTGGACGTAGGCTTAAATCAAGATAACAAGTGATCAAATCAAGAGGTATTATTAGCTAATAAGGCCATTAACTCCCGGTTTGTATCTTATTGGGAGGTTTAGAATTTCTACCTGGTCTCCTCTAAATAATGCAGACCACTGGTAATAGCTATTAGTTGTAATTCAGAATGATGCGGATGCACTAACTGTTCATTTCTGAATCTTCAGCGTATTAATGTCAACTAGTTTTTTAATTTTGTTATCGTCCTACTCTTATTGTTTTTCTCTGTGCTTTTGCGATATGGCAGTTTAGATTCATACACTTCTGTTCCAAAATCTAAACTAGTGTATCTGTCTGTTCAGCATTGAGGGTTTGAACTGTACAAGAGACACTGGTTTCCTTGGATTGGATCATAAGGAGCTCATGAGTACCAATAAGGTTTTAGGCTTTTATGTTATTGCTTACATAATTATAGTTTATATTGCACTAAGATTTCGTATCATTTAGTCTAGTTGTTACACTATTGGTCCCAGTTTATAAGATTGAATTCATATTGACTTTATATATGGCACTACAACCTAGGAAACACTATAGTCACCTTTCAATGAAGAAGTAGTTATACTTTGAACCATACTTCTTGCTATATACACCATAAAAATACTACATCCGACCATCCATCTTTTTAGAGGAGGCTAGGAAGCTTTTGTCCATACTCACTTCTTTACACCTGATATATAGTAGGGACACAAGCGACGGATTAAATATTCAAGACTTGTGGAATATAAAGCTAGTGAGGAAGTGTCGGTAATAGTTATATGTGAAAACCGATGAAGAAAGTAGTTTAGTAAATAGAATAAACTCAGGCGGTACTAAAACATGTTGGGCATTACGACTTCCTGACTGTCACCATGTGTGAGAATATTTATTCCTGAGAGACATTAAGGAAACTAAATTAGTATTCGTGTTTCACCCGGACCAGGGAGCATAAACACGAAGCTCAAAAGATAACTACTTCATACTGCCTACTTTTTAATAAGTAATTGTTTCCTGTCTTGTAGTACTAGCCTAGTCTTTTTTGTGTCTTGTAGCATATTACCAGTATTAATGAATATACTAAATATCTGTAGCAATCTCCTTACTGTATTTACGATTTCATCCTGAGATTCTAAACTTTCTAATTCTGATCTTGTTGCTTCTCATCTGTTTGGACCTTTAGTAACAAGTGCATCAACTCATACTATTCAACTAGGCTGTCATTATTGTAAAGTCATCATCACGTTCTCACGTCCGAGTGGTAACTACAATCTGAACTGATAATTAGCATTCACTGATAATATTAGGGAAATCCCATCCTAGTTGATTCGAATATTTTTCAACAAAGTTTAACAAGTCATGGGTACTACTAAAAAATTCCACGTGTAACACGATTTCCCTTAAATGCCTGTTTTTTGCAGCTTTTTAATCAATACAATTTTCAAATTATTCGAGTCTTCAGAGTCACCATTTAGTAAGGTTTCTTTATTTAATTCAATTCGTCCAATGTGTCATGTCTGAAATAACGAGCAATGTTAATCTATTTAGGACTGTATTGATTACTTATGGTGTCAGTTCTTTCATCTTTCTGTTTTTATGTTTCAGGATGATACGGAAAGTCTCTCATCTCACAAACCTATTCGGCTTCACATTGGTATCGGGGCCGTTTCATCGGGTGGAGACTGGCGTCACCTTGTTAGCAACCCACCACAGCCTATTGGAGGGCATGTATTCCAAGTTACAGTTAACCGTTGTCGTACAGTAGCAAAACCAAAGACTAACAAGCCTACAGACCCTTCTTCGCCATCTTCTAGCTCATTTGGTTAGTATGTATTTCATGTTTTCCTGTTAAACTAACACTGGCAACGCATCTTAGATTCACCATTTCCCCTAGTTTACCTTCATTGTTTTTAAAGCTTATAACTCCGTATTAGATAATAACAGTTGTTTCAGCCTAACTATTTTCGTTACTTTTTCTCAAATTCATTTTAGTTGGAGATTATTTATCACTCACATAAAATGTTACATCTGTTTTGATTAGGTATATATCTCTTGACTAAATCTATGAAATTGTATTAGATGAGTCTGTTGTGTTTGCCGGTCGTCCATTTCTTATAGTTGATATGCATGCTTTCTATATATGGACCCAATTTTATTTGGTGTAGAAGACAAACAATAAGCAGGAAGCTGTATTGACTAAACGAATCGAAATGTGCACAAGCCAATATATATATATATATATATATATATATATATATATATATATATATATATCCCTCGAATAATAAAGCCAAATCTCTACCAATAGAGTTTATTCTTGGACAAAACTCACCTATCATTGACCTAGCATGTGCCCATAGGCACGAGGTTTAAGTGTATCGGTCAAACCTGTTACCTCTCCTGTAGGAAACGTGTTCCTCTTATTCAGCTGTATGAATTAAGATAGGAGAACAATACCTCTCTCTGTTGAACAGTATGATGTCCTCAAAGGGTTTATTGGTTCAGGCGGACCACATCTTTCTGTAGCTCTCCCCACTTTTAAAATTTCATATCTGAATAATAGAACTGGTTGGTAAATGTTGGATGCGTGTGTTGACGGCCTCTGTAGTACTGAGAACTTATCTCAATGCATGTCTCATTCACTCTCTAATGACTAGAAATGGAGAACCCAATTAAGTTTTAGGGATACAGCATGTAATGAAGACTAAAAATGATGACCCCTTATTTGACAACAATCCCGCAGAATTTTGTGAGAGAGGTGATTATGTGAGCGAAGATTTAATGGATTGAAAAGTTTGTGGCCTGCAAAATCAATTTCTTTTTCCAATTTTCTATGACAAACAATTACGCTTTAAGTAGTAGTGTCAGTTATATCTGTTGTTTATAGACATTTTATTCTATGGTACTGTTTGTATTCATTCATAAGCTATTGATTAATTAATGTTAAGTACCAGTCAGTTTAAGCCACACAAATCTAACTATCCAGTGTAAGTAAAACAGTGCATTCTAGGTATAGTTCTAACCTATTTTGGTACCAAATAAATCCTCATCTATCATTATGTTGTTGCTTGTGTTGTGCAATTTACAGGTTCAAATAGTCAATATCAGTTATCAGTCATTACAACAACGCTAAATGCATCTGTCAAATGTCTATAAAAATCTCCACCTGCACCAGTTTTGTCTTCTTATTTAGGCAGGAAAAATCATAGCGTCGGCCATCAATAGTAATCAGTCGTTTAAAATCTCAGGGGTTTCTCAGTTCTACGTATTTCTTAGTTTCACTATTAAGAAAAAAATCAATCTGATAAATCATATTCTACAAGGTTGGATACGGAATGTGTTCAGGACTTGTGTGTGAATTCCAACACTTTCCACTGCCATATTTTAAGGTCGCCTGAATAATATGGAGTATAACAATAAATGCATTTTTGTTGTATCCCAATGAGTAGAAAAATTGTATTTTTGACCATTTCATGACTTAATGTAAGCCATTTTTTCAGAGTTACTTTCTACCCAACGCTCAATTTATTTTAAACTATCAAGTCCAACCCTTACATTGATACCTATATATACGGGGTAGAAGTTTACTCTAATAATCATCAATTATTTAGCATACGGAGTGTCGTGCATCTACTCACTCTGTTAATGTTTCATTAATAATAACATTTCAAACATTTAAGTCATTCTTAAGTGTGGAATCAAAACGTATTCAGTAGAAAAACATAACCTCTGTTACTTATGGATCCCCGATAATCTGTCTTTTTATGATTGATATTTTGGCTCATAAACTTGAGGTTTTTAGTTATTCTAACTACTAATATTTTTCACTAATAAATATTTCTTTTTACTGTTTTTTAAATTCTAATTCAGATTTTGAGAGTTTTCTATGCGATATGCTAACCAAACTGCCTGATCCTTATTGTATTCCTCTCAGTCAAACTTTGGTAATGCGCTCACCAACTGATCTTACGCTCAAAGTTTCCAAACCTTGCATTTATGTGTTCCCTGAAGGTTCTGGGCAGGTATCTATCCTCGCTCTTCCTTTTTACAATATGCTAATTGATGGAGGATGTAGTCATAAACCTTGCTTTTGGTCTGTTGCTAATTATCTTGATCGGTAAGACTTTTAATGGGAAGGGAATTACCGCTATTCATCATGATAAATTTTGGTTTCTTTTATGATTGTTGTTAATTTAAAATTGGGTGTGATTGAAATAATTAGTGCGTAGGTGTCAGTGAAGAGAATCGTTGTTGTGTAAATGTTTGCTAAATACAATTAGGCTCCTAGAATTAACCACACCTTGTTTATAGAAAGGTCACTGAGTTATTTGGTATATTAATTTACAAGAATAAATCTGAATATATTGTTTTAATAGTGCCTTGATTTTTCTACTATCTTCTTCTAAATGTACTCTTTTGTACAATGGGTAGTTTCATGCTTGGACCATAGAGTGGCAATTTTAATTGGCTATGTTGCTTACTTGGTTTGCTTTTGTGTTATGCTTGAGTTCTGTTGGGACAATAAGACCCGTATATTTTCTAACTTTAAATCTAACGTTTTTTTGTCGAAAATCATAAGTTCTGCCGTTCTATTTCCACTTTTTTCTTAAGGTTTTTCGATGTTTGAAAATGATTATTTGTTAGCACGATTCCAAGGAAATCTTAAGCATATTTACGTACGATAACTGTGCACTTAATCAACTTCTTCTTGAAGATTCCTATTCTCACTTTTTACCTGTTAATCTTAATATGTAGTATGTTGAGTTAAGTAGAGGCATATGAAGACATGATATTCCAGGATAGCTTTCACTTTGTGATAATCCTGTATTAATCCGTTAAATTGTTGTTAACAACTTAGGTTCCGGGACAAAAAGGTATCAGTAAAAGTTGCTGAAATCTACATTAACATACAAAGTGAAAATGAAAATGATGAAGAACCGAAAGGTATAGATAGCAATATAAAGATTAGTAACGAACTAATGGTAGAAAGTATAGGTAAAAAGACGAATTAAGTGATTGAAATGAATAAAGAATGGGATTTTACTAATTTGAAAGAAGTTGGGGATTAAATGAAACTGCCATTACGATCGATTTTGGCTTATGCAACTAGTGAGGAAAAATGGTTTAAATTTTGTTTCTGGTTAGCGTTTTTTAGTAAGGTTAGTTTTTTACGGGATGGGGTTGATAACCCCATAGCCAACTCTTCTTTATCCGGGCTTTGGACCGGCATTAACCCTAGAAGAGCAAGATCTTGAAGTACAACACTGAGAACACCAACTCAATCGTACTTGATGGAGAAGCTCTGGAAGAGGTGGAAACTTTCACGTCCCTGGTCGGCATCATCAATGAAAGTGGGGGATCCGATGCAAACGTAGATGAAAGGATTGATTGGCAAAACAAGAACAACATTCCTTCAATTGAAGAACTTATGGAACTCAACTGTCAACCAATATCAAAGTCACAATCTTCAATACGAACATGAAGACAGTCCTACTGTACGGAACTGAAACTTGGAGAACTACTACAACGATCATCAAACATGTACAGGCATTCATAAATAATTGTCTACTCAAGATACTCAATATCCGTTTGCCAGAAACCATCAGCAACAGCCTACTATGGGAGAGAACAAACCGACTTCGAGCTGAGGAGGGAATTAGGAAAAGACATTAGAAATGGATAGAACATACATTTCGGAATCGCTAACTTGATATCCTGAAGGGAAACAGGGAAGTGGAAGACCAAAGAAGACTTTCCATCGGTAATTAGAGGTAGACATCATAAGGATGAATAGCAACTGGAAAGAATTGCCCAGGACAGATTTGGATGAAGAATGGTAGTGAGCGGCCTGTTCTTCTCTACGATGGGTTTCAGGCATAATTAAGTAACTAGTGAGGAAGATTATGCCTTCCGATAGGTCTAAACTATCAGTTAAGGAAAGTCGACCAATACTATGGCTTAAACTGGTCGTCTTTGACCTTTTGCAACTTCTATGATAGCCTGGGATTTTGAGGTAGTCTTTATCTGAGTATATGTAGCAAATGTTCCGCTAACCCTTGTATTATAGTTTCAGAATCCTGCTCACAGTTAACCTCAACATTACTCATTTGGTGGCCCTTCCACTCACAGTTTCTGCTTTGTAAAACATTTACTATGGATGCTGGGAACCTACGTATTTCCAATTTCATAGATCATGTAAAGTAACTCAGAGTAGAACTACTGTTTGAGGATACTTGTCCTTCAATAGAAAAAATGATATCTTACGCCCCAGATAACATAATGTTAGCCAGTCATTTTTGACTGTTGTGAACGTATCCAAACTGATATTTCACTAATCGCTATTCTATTAGGATAATTTATTTCTAAAAATATCAACGTTAAGTTAAAATAATTAGATCTTTTAACCAAGAATTTACTTTTTGTTTAGTAATTCTCAATAAACTACTTTATGAAGTGATCCCTCTCGCTCTCACTATGCATATCTCTTCCGATAGTTAATCGCTGAAAAATTCCCATTATATTCTTCGTTCATGCATTTGTGTCTTCCGAAAGTTAATTAATTATTTCGTTATTTGTTCTTATTTATCATCAATATGGTTATTAATCAACTATTTTCTCTTTCTAACCCAACTTCTGTCAGTAAAGCATCTGTATTAATCGTTTTCTTGCACCGTTGTTTTATGCGTATACAGTACATATTTATGTCTATGCATGTGTATACTATCATCAGTTTGATGTTTCGGAGTTTACTCTGTAGATAGTTCCGAAATGTTTGCTTGTGTGTGTGTGTGTGTGTATAATAATTTTCTTACGAGTTACTCATTCTCATATAGTTAATTTGTTATTGACTACTTAACTTGTTCAATAATGGTAAATGGTTTGAAAGAAGAGACATAATCAACAAACGAAACAAGTGGTAAATTAATTCTGATAATAAAGAAATCGTTTCTTAGGAATTCAATTAATTTTAATTTTATTTATTTCCATTTAAAATCGAGGTAGGTGTCTCTTCTTCACAGTACCGATCATATTTTTCTACTTTCTATCAAATTTTAATAGATGTTCTATTATATCATCGATCACGAAATCATGCAGATAAGACTTTTTCTGATGAATTTTCTAGTATATTTTAAATAAAACATTATGCAGTAATCTTGAAGTATGTATGAGTTACACCCCATCAAGATGTATTTGTAGAGATGGATCGTGAAGTAATTCTTTATGTTGTGACTATAGATACTGAAATAATTGACACTATCTATCACTTCAGTTGTATAATTAACTACACCAGTTCTAGCATGTATTAGTTGATGAACATGACTTGGAATTGGTCACAGTAATGTAGAAGGATTTACTTTTAAAGTTGCTATAGTTTTTTAAATTTCTGTGTTATCAAGAGCTGCAGATTTTAAATGTGATAAGTTTGTCAATCACAAGCAGTTGGTATTGGTAACCATAAGTTGATTTGTTATGGTAATTAAAAGGTTCGATTTTTAAGTCGCACATTTAAATTTCTTCTGAATAAATATTCGTGTCAAATGGTATCATTAAGGTCTAATCAGCTTCAACTATAACTTGTTGTATGTCACTGAGTTGAATCAAAACAACAGCAAGCTAAACGTATTCTCTACTATTTTACAGTCTGTATTGCTCCAGTCATTTCATCTAAAAATCTTAGTACTGCTCACTGAATAATGTTACAAAAAGACGGTTTGTTATTTTTGTTCCTACAGCACTCGGATTATAGCGAGTCTGTTCTTAAACTCAACTAAGTTCAGATGTCATTTATTGACCTTGATATTACAAATGTTTTATATCTTCCATGAGCTTCTTGTTTATCTAAAATCAGTTAAAAAGTAATTATATTTAGTTTCATAGTTCTTTCATTTCAGTTTATTGATGCCAAAACTTCGGTATGATTTACAAATTCCCATTTTATTCTCCAGCCTGGATTCTGTTCTGGTAACTCATTGGGGTATTGATAACATACTTGGACTGAAAACAATTCTTCCGACAGTTTTCAAACCGAGCAATGATCAATCGTTACTGTGTCTTCTCACTCCTCCACCGAATATTAACAACATGAAAATAAATAATCATACTCAAGATCCACTACCGTTTACGATTAATCTACCAATGTATTTTTCTAATTTAGTTGGAGAAATAAAACGTTCTGGTACTAATCTCATGGTCTACCCAGTTACTCGAGGAGGAAAACAGTCAGTAGTTCCAAAACCACTACAACTTTTCCAAAAAGTAAGTCATTTTATCGTACAACTTTTTGGTGATTACACCAAACTTGAACAATCTTTAGTGTCTTCCGATCGTGATTACTGATAAACTGAATTATGAAAATCAACTGAGAACACAATTCTAGAGTTGACAATAAAACGAGAGTCTGACTTCCAAGAACGTTTAGACATATAGACTAAATATGATCTTTTTCAACTAGATAGATAAATTAGAACAACAGTTTCTCTCTGATTGTTTTTCTTGCCTCAGAACACAAATGAAATGTATGTTTAGTGAATACACATTTTTTTTCAATTGGCTGATAATTCCTATTTAAAAATTGAAAACATTTTTCTTATTTTTTTTACGTTTTCTATTCTCAATACTTTTTTTATGTAGGTAGGTCAAGGTTGTTTGGAGTTATTCCCATTGACCCCTGGAGATGATGATTCTGCCGAGTTGCGCAAGTTAAATGATGATTGGTCTAAATGTGCTCCTTCACTAATGGCAACATCTGTCCCATTAAATAAAAGTTCAGGAAACAAAACAACTGTTCCACTTGTAAGTTTTATAGGTATATTTAAAACTAAGGTTCTGGTTTATCGGAAATAGCCAAAATCTTTGAGTTATATGGTAGATAAGTATTCAGTGGTGTTACTTTCGTCTTTACTGTTACGACGGTCGGGAAGGAATTATGATTGGTTGTATTGTGATGCTTTATTATTCTTTTGTTAACTAATGAATAGATCGTAGTTAAGCGTTCTCCATATAACTAATTGTTATACTTTCCTGGTATTTATACACATAGTCAGTTGGTTAATAATGATTCTACGCCTTAAAATCTATTCATACAGGATTTAACAGATTGATTTATTAAGCAAATTGTCATTTTGGCTAACTATACTACTGGTCTTATGGTCTACGTGCTCAAATCTTTCCCAATTCAATCACTTGTACATGCTTGCAGTTACCTTGTTTTTATTTGAGTGATTAATTTGTATCTTTTATTGGTTATTTATTTATTTAAATACTCAAACACTGGTACAAGGGGGCGCCAGAATATATATGTCATACAAACCACTGAATTTGTGTGTGAGCTTGGATGATGCCCAGGTGCCCACACCGAAGCAGGTGGTTGTTTTAGGGGGTCGCTCCCTGAGCCTTTGATTCAGAGGTCTAATCCGCAAGACAGTGGAGTAATGTTAGGATATCCGACCCCATAGCAGCCGGTGACCAAGAATGTGTTCATATGCCATTTGTTCCCTTAGTCTCCTGGAGTCCACCTTAACTATTGGTTTGGAATCAGGGTTTTTTAGTTCCTTTAGTTAGACTCTCCATACGCTCGAATCTGGTTCAACCGCTGGACATTCGCTTTTCTAACTCTCAGTTTCGTATGTAACACCCCCGCGCGAGAAGGTAATGTGTAGGACTTTTCTGTCAGTGGCTGTGTATGCGTGGTCATATGAGAGCATCTCGAAAGGGAGATGGGACTTTACCTAACCAGATGACGGCATTTGAGGATCTCTTTTATTGGTATATACACTCAGGATTTGGTGTGGCTCCATAATCTATGAACGTGTACAGAGTTACTTCAGTTTTAATTTTTAATCTTATTCTACTAACTAACAATTGACAGCTTGTTATCTGTTTTTTTTCTAAGCTTAAATACCAAATAGTTTCATACTGTTGTTTTCATTAAACACAGACGATGTATGCAATACAATTTGTCGTCCTATAATTATAAAAAATCATTTATTCATTGGAATTCAGGTTTTATGATGGCTAGTTTGTACTTTTGTCAGCTCATTTTCTATACATATAGTTAGATTTTTTTGAACTGTTAATAATTGATACAACTAAGGTCTAGGTTTATCATCAGCGATTGCATTTCATTATTGATTTTAAGCATTTTGTAATGAAAGTACAAAATTACTTATATGTCTGATTTGGTGATAATTCCGAAGAATTCACTATAGGGTGTGATCCCTGAAAAGTAAACTGTAATAGACAATGAATAATGAATAAACTGCTTTTTTCGTAAATGCCTACATCCTAGTTATTTATTACAAAATAATGAAATATTCGTTCAGATGCTTGACATTTTGATCTAGTGTTTTTGAATACAGTTGCCTTGAAATGTATCAACCCCTATTTTGGTTTATGTAGTATAAAGTATTCTGGCTCACCCTAAAAAAACGAGTGGGCTATTGTATAGAAATATTTTCTTTATCAGGTTAGAATATCTAGTTAAAAGACTATCGTATAAACTAATTGATCATTGAGTTGTAAGCAATATTATGTCAATTGATTCTTTACTGTATTCTGTCTGATTATTAATAACTAGTTATTATGGTGAAGTTTTTGGATGTTATTTAGTAACTGTTTCATGCTGTTATTCTTGACATGAGTCTTTATAATAATTGGTACTTGATAGTAGGATATAATTGCGATCTTGGCGGATCAGATATTCTCAGCTGTATTCTAATCCATGTTATCCACTGTCGTGATCGCGAACATACACTGTCACTAAGACAACGGCATTTGATATTTTTGTAAAACTAATATGCGTTTACATTGATTTATCATGAATGGTAATAATAAAGCTGATATGCTATCTAGCTGTTTTTACCTATTCAAACTCGGTTTCCCTGTAATTGCTCTAAGGAGCGCAAAAAAAGAGAACAATAACCCACTTTATAAAGAAAGTAAAAAGTTTACAGCAGGATCGCCACTGGCTTCTATTCTGAGCCATATCTGATAACGTCTCAAGCCACTGTGTAGCACCATCTCTCGGACCCCAACCAGGGAGTCGTGAGGGACCCACTGTAATTGCTGCATACGCCTTACTCAGGTCTATATTTTCTTGACAGTTATTACCAGCCAACTTACATCAAAATACTATAAAATCTACCAATATATTATACAGTCATATTAATGCCATCCATACCATTTTCGAAAACATGACTATTTTAAGGTCCCGATGTTTACTTGTTATATGTACTTGGTTATCCAGTTTCTTTATTTTCCAGTGTTTGTCGGTGATAGTATGGATAAAACTAACAGTTATCAGTTAGCATTAGGTCTATCACTTTTTTCTTCTTCTGCAGTATAGGGTTTGTTTTCAGATATGCAACTATGTGAATATGAAACTAATGATTGTTCCAATATCATAAAAACTGTAACTTCTATTGTAAATAAATGCGCAAACTACTACTTGGGTGTTTTTAACTAGAATAACTAAATTGAATTCGAAAATATACAATCCAGTCATGCAAAAGTTAGTTGTCTTAGTAAATGAGTCACGGTGTTCATTACTCAAAGCTTATTACATTCTATTCACTTTATAAATTATAATTAATCACATTCATTAGTATTGTACGAAAAGTATATATATATTATAAATTGGCATAATTTACACATGTTAAACAAAAGAATAATTATTTCATGTGAGGTAATGTATTAGCTATCCATCCAGTATACACGTACCCTTATGTTTTCTTTTTCTATAATGGTTTTGTATATTTTCTAGTATCAGTTTGTGTTACTTTCGGATTTTGTTTATTTTCTTAATATTCCAAATATCACATGTTCCAAGTAGAAAAAAAAAACTAACGATAGTTATGCATTCACAATTGAATCCTGTTTCGGTTTGAGCACCCGGGCAGTATCACAGCCCTCACACGTATCAAATGAGTTTTGTGTGGCGCATATGTATTTGGTGCCTCCTTGTACCAATATCTATGTGTTAAAATAAAATAAATAATAATAGATTTAAAAGTTGCCCATATTCATATTATTCAAGAATTATTATGTTACCTGTTATCTGATTTTCTTAATGCATACAGTAATTGGTTGATTATTGATTGTGGTAATCAATGAGATGTTTGTCTAATAGTTAGTGATGATCGAATTTTAGCGATAGAGCTGTAATATGACTATTGGTCTAAGTAATTTGTGATATTATTATTATTATTATTATTATTATTATTATTAGCTTTATTCAATATTATAATATTGGTACAATATAGAATTCTCAGCGCAAAGTATTTCAACAAGTTTCCGTTTCTTTCTTCTTGGTCGGTCCTGGCGATAAATATTGAGGAATCGCCAGTTAGATGTTAGCACTTCAGTGAATGAACAACTGAATAATGTACATTCTTTTCGTTGTACATTGCCAGCAACCACATTGACTCCTACTGATTTTTTTGTAACTTTGACAACGAAAGGTTGTACACTTTTCAGAAACGCAGCAGAATAGGTTATGCGATTAATAAACATAATGATATATTAAAACAAACAATAATAGATAACTTGTTGAAATATCTAGATGGCAGGAACAGGTAGCCCAGATGCTCAAGCAGGCCGCCCTGGTGTGAACTGTGTGTTACTATCGACAGGAAACCCTGGGTTTAGGTTTCATTCTAGCAGGTATTTGACAAAATGGCGTTTAATGTAATTATGAGATAACTGATTCTTACTATGGGATTCAAACCCACATCACAACTTATCTTCTTAGTCTAGAAGGTTTTTGAACAATAATTGTATTTAAATGTTCTCATTTTTTTAAATCTTCTGTTTTAGCTTTCCTACACAAGCGTATCAGCTTTGGTTGTTTGGAGACCTACTAAAGATACGGAACCTATACTTCGATTTCTTTTTGTATCACCAAATGCACATCAAACACGTATTTTGTTAAGTCTTGATGCATTAATTACTAGTTTCATCTACCTTCGTCATCCCAAAGCTGTCCCAGCAGAGTTCGAACGAAAACGACCATCACAACCTTCAAGTGCAGGTAATTTCCATATTTTTCTTTGTTGTTATAATGTATTTTTGACTACTATTTTCCATAGAAGTAGAATTCTGTTTAAAACTTTCTATTGGTGCAATTTTTTATTTATTTATCAAAAAATACAGCTTCACGTCGCCCAACGGTACCAGTAACGCACGCAACATCGGGTAGTAACGAAGGCAGTATCAATTCTGTAGGACAAAATAATAATACTACCGCTTCTCGGCCATCTCATGTAGCAAAGAAGGGGACGACGACAAAGACAACACAGGATACTGCAACACATCGGCCTCCATCATCTAAAACACCTGCAAGCAGTAAAACACAAGCGAATGCTAAACCTCCTGTTAACAAAACTAATCACGTGGTTAAAAATGCTGATGTTGTGGAGTCACCATCTAAACAACCAGAGGTTCATGATAATGGTAAGTAAATACTTTTAACATAGACTATGATTAGTTGGATGGAATTTTAATATAAAACTCCTAAAGGAATATAATCTTTAGAGTTTATAGATTATAAACCTAATAAGAAAGTTTTTTAAAGTGGGAAAAGTAATTCCAGCCGTAGGCTTTCTGAAATATGGTTCAGACTGATAAAATTTTTCAACGTCTTGTAAATCTCACGGTTTTTTAAAAAGAAATTCTTAACACTGTCAATCTGTTTTACATAATAACTCTGTTAGTTTATTTTAAAACCAGTTACTTCTATGATTGTACCGAAACCAGCTTTTATAACATGGGAACACGAATTTGTAGTGGCTGTGCTGCGTTGACCAATCACCCTCGTAACTGTTATCATATAATCCTCAACGGTGTTTGAAATCAGAAGGCAAAGAGAAGCAGCGACTACAGTTTTATTGGCAGATATAACTCAGATCACCAAACAGAGAGGCAAATGAATGAGTCAGCGAACCGAGAGTGTAGAGTGTTAAATGTACATGTATATATATATAGGGAAATGAATGGATCATCGAATCAATTAATCAGTTAATAATAAAGCTATCAGAATGAACATATGCGTAGGTGGTAAGCAATGTTCAAGCATACATATTTCATACAAGCACAACAATAATAAAGCCCCCAAATGCCCTGGTACGGCCGAGAGTGGAGAGGGAGAGTCAGCTCTCTCTCTCTCTCTCAAAATGCTCTCACATGACCACGCGTATATAGCCTCTGCCAGGGAAGTCCTACTCACTGCCCTCTTGTGGCGGGGGTGTTGTTTACGAAATCAGAAGGTCGAAAAGCGAATGTCCGTCAGGCGCTTTAACCGGATTCCAAACTGATGGTGCACATGGGCTCCAGTATCCTGAAGGAACAAATGGCGTATGAACCAATCGTTGGTCACCGGCTTCCATGGGATTGCATCTCCTTACGATGCTTCACTGTCTCGTGGGTCAGACCTTCAGGTCGAAGGCTCGGGGAGTGGCCCCGTAAGGAAATCACCTGGTTCAGTTTTGGGCACCCGGGCAGTATCCACAGCCCTCACACATATCGAATGAGATTTGTGTGGTGCATATCTATTTGGTGCCTCCTTGTACCAATATCTATGTGTTAAAATAAAATAAAAATAAAGGTACAATAAGTTGTTATAGTACGGATGACTTTGTCCGCTAAATAAGTTAACAAAAGGGCTTAACAACTGAATTAAATGAGAACAAACCCAATTGCACGTGAGTTGCTATAAGTTACCTCAAGCAAGAAGTTGATTTATGTCAGTCTAAAAAAAACAACCTGGCCTTCCAAGTAATTTTTCCTAAAATTTGTTGTTCAATTGAATTTCTATTGCATAGTAAAGACGTTAATATTATTTATAAAAGAACATTCCAACTTGTAATTCACTTAGTAGATTGGAAAAAAAAGTGATCTAAATTTTTCTTATTATTTCTGATGTTAAGTCGATCGATTCAGCACTTGATCCGATTTTTTTTTATACAATAAAATCCATTCCTATTCAGTAAAGAATTTTGTTTCTGAACGTTCTTTTTCTATCTCCAATTTAGTACGTATATATGTATATATAGAGTAGTAGATTGTTATTATTATGATATTAATCTTACAATCATGTACACAGTGCAGTGCTCGTTGCATACATCTAACAATGTTTCTTTACAAATATATAAAGAAAACCTGAAGCATGGTACTAATGAATAGAATAAATTAGGCTGTCCCGAATTTCGTCTTGTTTTTTTACCTTCGCAATAAAACGCCCCATTTTTATTGATTCAGTAGTTTAAAGGAGTTTTTTTTTCTTCACTGTTGATTGTTCACTAATTCACTTAGGATATAATTTCATGTAGAAATGAATAATAATAATAATAAGCGCCATTAATTATAAATAAACTTTGTGTACATATATATATATATATATATATATATGCATGAATATATATGTACATAATTATCAAAAGTCAATGTAGAATTCTAGATAAACTTTGGTTTAATAATCATTTGTAACTTTGTAACTATTAAATTATCCATAGAACATTTATTGTTGCTAATTAGTTTGAACTTGTGAATTTGAAGTGAATGTTACCGCATATGTGAACTACTACTGCTTTTTAGAAGAAAAAAAAGATTGATTGAATAATTTGTGTATTGATACTATTCTGTTGATATTTTTCCTCATTCCACTCGAGTGAAGCTATATTTATATTGTTAAGTATGTATATATATATATAGGTATAATTTCAGTCAATCAATTATAAATAACATGAAATCTAGCAACTATATATTTTGTTTCAAGCTGTTACACCATTGTAATATAGCAAGTTTTGAAGATAAGTACTAGACTAGTAGGACTAGTGACAATATCAGTGATAGTAGAAAAAAATTAAGCATAAACAAAATAATCCTACAAGAAAGAATGAATTTGCAGAATGAAAATTTAACAATTTTAAAGTCAAGATCTAAGGGAAAACAAAGAGTGAATGAATCCTTCATATTGCGACTGATTCTGAGCTGTGTTACCCAATAATCACATGTTTTATTTTATTTTATTTTAACAAATAGATATTGGTACAAGGAGGCACCAAATAGATATGCACCACACAAATCTCATTTGATATGTGTGAGGCCTGTGATACTGCCCGGGTACCCAAACTGAACCAGGTGGTTTTCTTAGGAGGCCACACCCGTAGCCTTTGACCTGAAGGTCTGGTCCACAAGGCAGTGGAGCATCGTAAGGAGATGCAATCCCATGGAAGCCGGTGACCAACAAGTGGTTCATACGCCATTTGTTCCCGCAGGATACTGGAGCCCATGTGCACCATTGGTTAAGAATCAGGGTTTTCCAACTCCCCTAGGTGGACTCACCGTGTCCACCAACCCGGTTAAAGCGCCGGACATTCGCTTTTCGACCTTCTGATTTCGTAAACAACACACCCGCCACAAGAGGGCAGTGAGTAGGACTTCCCTGGCAGAGGCTATATACGCGTGGTCATGTGAGAGCATTTTGAGAGAGAGAGAGAGAGCTGACTCTCCCTCTCCACTCTCGGCCGTACCAGGGCATGTACCGTAGTTTTCACTTACCCACATGACTCAGACCAACAGTCATTGACTTCGTGAACTGATATTACGTCTTAGTTTGACTACCATTATCTTTATTCCAAATTATCAGCAAATATTCAAGCATCAGAGTATGGAGTGGTTAAGCATATGTAATACATGTCCAAATCATCTCCGTCAATGAAGGTTCGCTATTTCATGAGATGATTTGTCATTCTTACTTAATGTCTTAAGAAGTTTTGTGGTAAGTTTGCATTACTGTCCATTCAACACATTTTAAACAGCTGTTCCAAATAAAAATAAGTCTCACAACAAACAATTAAAAGAAAATCAAGTGTTTATTTTATTGATACATCTATGCTTCCTTTTACTCGCAATCAGCCATTGGGACAACTTTTTTACTGAAGTCAATAAAATTATATTTTTTCAATTTCTCTTTACAGAAGTTTCTACACCAAATTTGATACCTTCAGAATTAGTTACTGAAAGTTCCGATATTCATGATGTATCAAATAATATTATCAATGGTGATATGATGCATAAAACAAATGGTTTTACTCATGATCTTTCCGATTTTGAACCTTCTGTTAACTCAGAGCAAACGAATCATGATTTATTGATTCATGATGTGAATTCAATGAAATTGCAAGATTATGGTGAAAATGTTTTTATCGCTCCTGATAATCTTAATAATAATAATAATACTGGTACTAGTATTAATAATAATAATAATAATGTAAAGGATTGTAATCAAATGAAGTCAACCGGTTTAGATGAATATGATCCTATTGCATCATGGGGATCACCTCAGAATTTGCCTTTACCTCCTACAGGTAACAGTAAAAGTAATTTTTAAAACTTCAGTCACTTTTGTCAATCTGTGATTTATATTGTAGTAGTAGTAGTGTTTTCGTAGGAATTGTAATAGCTTCATTATTTATTTCATTTGTATTACATCCAGTTGTATAACTGTTCACACAATAATTATAAATATTTTTTTATGTAACTGAATAGTGATATTCTTAGCGTTCATGTAAGACCTATATTACTTAAACTACTTGGTTGGAGTTCTCACGAATGTTGTAACCAATCATTAGAAGCTATGTGACATGGCCCAGAATCGATCACAATGACTCAGGTTTATACACTTTTTGTTTTCCCTTAAACCGTTAGATTAAAATTGCTTTATATCTTTCTTTCTACGAAATAATTCTTTCTCCCTGTATCATATCCTTATATGAATTGTTCTTCTTTTACTATCATTTTAATAACTGCTATGAATTTGGTGTTCATCTTGTTGTGCTAATGAGATATGGAAACCTGAACTGATGCATGTATGTGCCTGGTCCTACGTTGTATCTAATTGACTGACTTGAACTTATCGAATGTATCATTCCTTGCATGATTGTGATACGATTGTTTTCACTATGATTGGTTTTATTTCTCACATAATATCTCGTTTATACCTTTTTCTTTTGTTTATTTTAAGTTGTGTGACAGCAAAAGTTAAGCCTAATAGAATTAATTAGCCATGAATGCCATTGGAGAGTAAATGATGTGTAATTCCCGTATTTATTTCCTAAATGATTCCTGATCATGTTTATTCCTCTGTTCAATATTTTGTATATAAGGTCGCTATTTTTTCTCTCTCTCTCTCTCTCTCTCTCTCTCTCTATATATATATATATATATATATATATATATATATATATCGTCAGTTTGATGTTTCCTATTGTTCCAAACTGGCCATGTTATGATTTACAATGAAAAGGTGTTTGGGGATTGTTAAAATAACAGGCGAAATAAGCCGATCGATTAATCGTATCCAATGAAACAGATATATTCTAGTGATGGCTGCGTAGTAGATTGAATTACTGGCGTAAACACCACAAATATTTTTGAAATCAATTAACACGACAGCTATGTATATAGATTATATTATATTAATACTTTACAACTGAAAAGAAAAAATATTTCGTACAATAGGGAACCAAAAGAATGCGCCATAAATAGTGGAATGATAATTTGTTTTTATTTGACGTAATAAAGACGAATCAAGATTGTAAAATCAATAAACAAATGAACAAAAATGTTAATTAATGCAATAATAGTATGCATTTCATTCGAAAATATTTGTACATATGATGTAGATTTCTATCGATTCCTGATTATATCTCGAATGTTATTGTCGATGCCTATTTTTTTTTTACTGTTCATCTAGATAGTTTCACCTAACGGTGTTGATACAATGTAGCAACTTAAGCCGATTCATGTACACATTAGGATGTACGTTGGTTATGGCCAACTGACTGAAGGATTAGCTTCTATTCTGAACTTATGTCTGATAATGTCTATCATGATCAGTTATTCGATAATAGGCAATGTAGAAATTAGCATTAATACCTATCACTTGATATTGTTTTACTTGAATCTTCCCATTGATGTTTTTGGACTGAAATTGATCAGTCTCCTATTGGCATATGTGCATACTGTGCGTATGCCTCGATATTGCCTTAATTTACAAGCATTATAAGCAAAGATGGATATTGGCTAGCAGTGGAATCCAGGACGCGCGTTTCGTCCTGTTTGGGACTCGTCAGCTGGATGTACCTGCATCTCAGAGTTGATGTTCACTCTGAGACTCGAACTCAGTACCGTTCGCTTCAAACGCCATCGCGTTATCCACTTAGCTACTGGCGTTTGAAGCGAACGGTACTGAGTTCGAGTCCCAGAGTGAACATCAACTCTGAGATGCAGGTACATCCAGCTGACGAGTCCCAAACAGGACAAAACGCACGTCCTGGATTCCACTGCTAGCCACTATCCATCTTTGTCTATTAATACTTATCGGTTCAAGTCGTGTTGTAACTCAACACATCAGCACAACATCATAAAAAAAGACGGAAGGAAATAAATGTGTCAATAGACATAATGGGAGAGTCTAAGCGTGACAGGTATCTAGTGTTTACATGGAATAAATGAAATTGAAAACTGAAAAAAAGAGTTATGGAATGACTTCCAATAAACTCAATATCTGAGAAAGAAATCAGTATATTTTTTTTAAAAAAAAACGTATATCTCTGTTTAAGCTGTTTTTAGTGATTCGGATTAATTTTGTTTTAATCATATTGTTTTTGTTCTATACAGGTTCAGAAGTTGGCAAAAAACCTGAAACAGTTGCAACAACAAACGGTGAAAAGAAATCCGCATGTATGTGACAACATTACAATTATTGTCATTACGAATTTATTTTTCTACATCTTTTTGTTTCATTACTATTGTGTGAATAATTAATAATGAATTTCATTGATGACAAAATTGTCAATACTTTAAAATGATTTCTTTTTTTGGTATGGAATTTACATCACTGGTATAATGATGATACGATGCCTAGATATTAGACTGAACAGATAAGTCTTAATTGTTTGGGGCATAGTTGACCTACAAGTTCATATCTTCCAATCGCCTATAACAGTTTATTGTTTTGTCTTCGTGTTCATATTAGTATGTTATTTTATTACATAAAAAACTATTCATCTGAATAGTGATCTTTGATTTCTTACCATTCGGCAGGCCAAAATCACTAATATAGTCACCCGAGTAGCCATCACTCGGTCATATTATATCATTGCTTATCGTGCATCGATTAGCATTGTATTTATTCAGCCAAACTCTGTCTGTCTTTATCCTTGATTGTTTGTCGAAAAAAAGATCAATTTTGATTGTAAAATATTAAACCTTCAAAACAAGTTTGATGACAACGCTGAAGCGCTTAAATATTCACTTTATATTTGCATAATGGTCGATATTTTTCGAAAAAAGCCATCAAAATTATAGAGCAAATATATTGTACTTGAATTGGTTTCTTGTCAACAAAATGTTTGTCATACTATATTTCTGTTTGTTTCTGCGTCATACTCTGAGTATGACAATTTCTGTTTGATTTTACTGACAATAAATTAGGTTTTGATTGTTTCTCCCCCCTCTTTTTTCTTCAGCTCATTTGACGAGGAGGGTTACATCTGTCAACAGTAGTAGTGGTAGTACAGCATTGGGTGCAACAAAAACTGGTAAGTTCAAGATTGATAAACGAACATTATTATTAGTATTAGTATTAGTATTGTTTTCTGGTTTATTTCATCTTTTTTTTCAATATATAGTAACTGATCATTTAAGCAATGGTTATAAACGATATTAAATCTGGAGTCCGAAATTTTTGTCGGACGCTGAGACCTAGTTAGATGTTTGCTTGATGAAACTCTTAAATCGGATTTTTGTGTGAAGTTTATCAATTCTTTTCCATATCTCGCAAAGTTGTATCTCAATTGGTAAAGGTTATATTTGAAAGGTGGATAGTGTAGCCCTAGAATAGTGGAGCACATTTTTCTCGGGTGTTTTGGGAACTGAAGTTTTTTTTGACTTAAACTGTTTTAGAATCAAAGTTTTATCCTCAGAGCATTTGTTCACAATAGTATCGAGATGTTCTCTGGATTTCTCGCAATCGTTTACTTTCCGAAAACCTTAGCTGCTCATCAATTTAATTCAAATGACATGTTGAGTTTCCTTCAACGTTTTAAATATTGAAACCGTTAAATCACAACCATACAAGTTTGAGAATGATAAAAACTACATTTAGATGTTAGAAGTTAAATTTACCAAAGGCCCTCACATAAACAGTGTAATCTGTAATATGAGCCCATATATAATAATTATCAACAATATTTATTCAATACGTTCATTTCTATAGTTTTTTAGCTCTCAGGTATAAAAAAATCCTAGTATGTAAGTTATCTTCGTTGGTCCCATTGAAGAAAGAAAACGTAGGTATCATCCGCAACTTACCACGAATGCATATTCGTTGAAACTCATGAAAAAAGACGATGCAGGTTGGAGCCAAGTCAGAGATAACTACAGTCCTCGAGAAGCATGTGTTCCTTAAACGACACTCTCAGTGAACTAATGCTACAACGTGTGATAGAAGTGATTCATGAAGCATTTACTACAGCTAAGCTGTATGTGTGGTCTATTCTACAAGCGTCGTATTATTAGAACCAGAAACAAGGACTTCCTGAATTTCTCTCATTCGTGTATTTATCAATTCAGCTGTTCCGGTTGAGCCTTCATAGCAGAAGAAAAATTAGAGAAATCCGTCATCGTTTTCTTTTGTAGAGGATCCTAATAGGTTAAGTGAAAGATATTTGAGGCTAATTAAAATCTCTATATGTAATCACCCAATTAATCCAAGTAAGGAAAATTTTTCAATTTTACTTTTTATTGAAGCTATCAACATCTGCCTTAACAAACCTGACCACTGTATCTATAAAGCAATTTGTACATCCACTCTTCTTTTCTATTTGCCTTTGCTCTTAAAAAAATGATTAACTACATATGTTTTAATTGTAATTTTCAATAGTTATTGTTTTATTGATAGTTTTATTTCAGATATAAATTAGTGATTAACATGGTTAATCCATCACATGTTTAAGAGATGATGCTCCAAACTCAGCCATTTGAATTGTACGTAGGAGGAAGTGGGGTGATGGATTGTGGTCTCAGTGAAAAAAAAAAGATCTCATTTTTCTTATTTTTCAATACTGGTGGATAATAGTCGTTTTTAGAAGTCTCTGTTACAAAACTATTAGGCTTATTTGACCAATGGTCGGAAATGCGTTGTTCCTTCTCATTTCGCTTAGTATTAATCACATATATTGATTTTATGGAGATAATGGTAACTATATGTACTAAAAAATTGTGTGAACTTCCAAAGTTGAAGTGCTCAGGGTTTCTTGTTATAAATTAAAGTTTAATGCACGAGACTGCTTGACATGAATGTTTTAAGTTGCTAATAACTCACATTCGATAGCAGTGTATAAGCATATTTTCTTACCATTTGTTATTTCTATTCGTTGTATTTCATTTTTCTGTATGCCTATTTCACTTTATAATTGGTAGTCAGAAAGTTCTATGATATTTCATTGATCTCATTTCTCTGTTTTATTATTGCGCCTTAAAAACATATATTGGTGTTTTTTCTAAATGAAGCTTCTGTTTTTAAACTAATCCTTCTTTTTACTTGTATTCTGCTCATAGGTCGTCTTTCTCTTGCACCTCGTGTTGGTGGAATACATTCGAGTATAAGCAACCAGCCAGTTAGTTATCCTCCTGGCTATACTATTGCCTCTGGTCATACTCCAGGTACAGCAAAGGCTCCTCCATATGACAAGGTCAAACCGATTTATGTTGATGTTGCTTTTCTACCAGGTAGTGGAAATTCAAATTACGTTGATGCTGAGTGGTTTAAACGTGTTCGAGCTCGTTACTATGTAGCCACTGATGTAAGACCAACATGCTCTCTTCTAGAATCCTTAGTCGTAGGAAAAGAATCATGGGGTGGTGATGATGCACAACTTGATGTCTCTTTAATATTGGCCTATGAAACTGAGGAGTTATTAGTATGGCTCGGTGTGAATGCTGGACGTCTTAATAATTGTCATGTTAATGTTGCCGCCGTCATTTCACGTTCATCTATCCAAATATTAAATGAAAAAGCTTCAGCTGTCGGCGATGGTCCTCTTAACTATCCAGGCTATCGTATAGACCTATTTTAACCAAAAAGGTATCAGCATGTCACTGACGTACATAACTAATTTTTAACTGATGAATCTCAGTCTTCATCTTTTCATCAGTTGTATGGGCTTTAAAAAACAGGATAGTATTTCATTTCTATATCTTCGTATATATGTGTGTGCATATTAACAGGAGCAGCTATCCATCCATATTGCTACATCGAGAAATAGGGTAGGAATATTACAGTATGAAAGTTTTTTTCGAAGACATTAGAAAGTAAACATTGTGTATGTGTCCCTCTGTGTATATCGATAAACCTTCTGACTGGCTTTTCAGTTATTTTATTCGATTGGTTTTTAAAGAGATTATTATATTTACGTTGTTCACTTGTTTCTAGTTGTTGTTATTGTTGTTATCGTCTTCGTTATTGTAAGATTCAGTCAGTTTTTACCCATTAAGTTGTGGAGCTGCCTCATATATGCTATTTCTTATTATTTCTCTCGCACATACATTTATATATACATACATAGTAAATTTGTTTTATTGCATCTTTCTTTTAATGTGCATCTGCTTCACGATTGACTTTCTTCACATACTCAACATTTTAACGCTTGTAATATTTCTCTCATTTTAAGTGTGTGTATGACTGGGTGGAAGATGTTGCTTCTTTAATGATAAAAGGACTAAATATGCATTATATATATAGCCAAACGCATTTCTGTCTCTATTCTAGAGTACAAACTTACTATTATTACTGTTATTATTTATCTCTTTGCCAATATTATATATATGTATTGGTCACCGCATCCTTCTTGACACGCACATAATACATTCCTTGTTCTTATTGCTACATCATTATTATAACTCATATAATGCGTTGTTTCTTTCTTGTTGAACAATGAAATTCATAAAATTAAATCTTTATATGCATTATTCCACTTGTTTTTTCCTTCATCATTTACTAATTCAAGATATCTACACTGGTATAACGTCAGAGAATAAAGTACTGTTCATCTGGATAAGAATCAACTTTATTCTTAATGCATTTCATTACTGTTGCCATTATTAAAAGAATGAAGTGTGTAATAGTAACATTTAAAGATTGATTATACAGTTTGATGTACCCATATGTAAGTCACATGTTTCGTGTCAGAGATAGATACTACTACCTGGCTTGCTATACAAAAGTAAGCGTGACTGGATTTAAACGCTGGACCTATTACTTGAAAGTTAAGGGATTTAGCCACAAAAACTACGTTTTTGATACGAACCAACTTTGTTGACAAAGAAAGTAATGTAGAACTCGTCGTATCTGTTGCTTTGATATGTGATTAGGCCTGCATATCATGACCCAATCCAGATATATTGGCTGAAACGCTGGGTTTTTTTCGGGGTATATCTCACCGAGCAAGTTATATAGCAGTAAAACTAGAAATTCCGAGAGTGAAGTCGTGCTGACTTGTACAAGAGCCTGATGACAATAATGTGCTTCTCTCTGAAAAATAGGATCTATAACGATGCTTCCTTCTTACAACAGAGGTAATTGATATCGGTCTTCCTTAAGATAGCTCACCACGAGTATCCGTTATCGGTAGTGAAGCCTTTAAATTAATGAGATGACACATTTGATGTTACTACTATATCAATTATCATTGTAGCCTTACACATCGATTTCATTATGACCTATGTAGTGTGGCAATACTGCGTAATCCATACTTATCGTAATGAAGTGTTAATAATATGATGTTAACTTATTTCATTGTCTTTTCTAACAATTTTATGACTATCTTAAAAGTCCTATCCCTGGGCTGGATTTTCTCATGTCATGATTGATGAATCGAGAACGTGTGAATTATATATGTTGGCTATCGAACACAACGAATACAATGTATCCAAGCTAACGGACTCATCATTATTATTCGTGTAGTTGAATTTATAACATGCAATAGCATAAAATTGTGGCTCATGACTTCTGCTAGTTTAAATGTGAACGTAGTTGCATGCAACATCAATAATAACATGTGTACGGGTCATACCACCATATAATCGAAGTAAAGTTCATGTACTTAGTGGACTGAGCCGTGTTGGTAGGTGTAGACTACCTGGTTGGGGACCGAGAGATGATAGCAACCGGTGGTTAGAGACCCTGAATGACATGGCTCAAAATCGTTTGCAATGGCGCAGGTGCATCCACTCTTTGTGTTCTTCCAAATTCTGATCTGAATCCTCCTTGCCTCTTTTTTTCTCTTTCCAAATTTATTTCAATGTATTATACTCCTTGAATAACATCTTCAAACCCTAATCTTCCCGATTACTGCTTATACTCTTACCGCCTCTACCACTACGGGATTTGAATCGACAACTGCATCTCTGTGCTAATGTAGTGTGGCAACTCGAACTGATGTACGTACGTACGAAGTTCTACGTTGTTGCTGAGTGACTGCAAAAAACACCAGTAACTCATCATATATATATATATATATATATATATATATATATATATATATATATATATATATATATATATATATATATATATATAAACACATACACATAGGTACAATAAGGCACCAAATAGATATGCGTCACACAAATCGAATGTTACTGTCCGGGTGCTAACATCGAAGCAGTTGGTTTTCTTAGGGGGGCCACACCCGGAACCTTCTACCTAAAGGTCGAAGGAAATACAGTCCCATGGTAGCCGTTTGTCCGCTCAGGATACTAGGGCCCTGTGCATGATTGATTTGGATTCAGGGTTTTCCATCTCCTTTCGGTTGACGACCCAGTTAAAGCACCGGACATGAGCTTTTCGTCTTCTCAATTTCGTAAATAACACCCCAGTCACGAGAAGGCAATGAGTAAGACTTCCCTGATGGTCTTTGTATGCATGTGGCCATTTGAGAGTATTTCCAGAGAGAGGGAGACCTTACTCCCCACTCTCGACCGTATTATATATATTTATATACCTTGATTATTCAGAATTGTAATGAATAAAAATTATTCATGTCAGACTGAAATTCCTTTTTGTTTTACCATTTATAAGTTACAAAACTGTAATAAAATGGTGTATACATTCAGAAAAAAGTGTTTTTCTCGGATGTAAAATCAGTTAATAGCTTATTTATACTTATTAAAAATTTAATAATACTTTTTCTAAAATAGATTTTATGACTCTTGTAATGAATACATTAAATACATAATAAATCAAGTATTCTTCATTTAGTTGAAGAGGTTTTTCAGAGATTGATTTAATGTTGTGAATTGTATTCTCTATTCTATTCGGACACTTCACTTCTATCTGAAGTTTGTACTGATGATGTCATTCAGAAGAACGATGAAAGCTCCACAAGCAAACCATCTAGCTCAGAGAACAAAACTCCATCATTGTTATTCTCTACAGATTAATTTTAAGGTACTATTGAAAATCACAAATCACTGAACAGTTGTTTGACTTTTCAGTATGAGATTTTTCATCAGTGTGAAGTCATGACATTACTAGGAATAGAAATTAGGATTTCATGAGAAACTCGTGGAGTGAATTACTATGACATGATTTTATGATAAATTATCAATAATACTAGTTAAGTGGTTAACGTTCTATGAGAAAATTTTTTGTAATCATTCACACGTGAAGGGAAGGTAATAGTCAAACCATAGCTCTAGAATTTATAGTGAAATTATGAGATGAATAATTATCTGTTTATAGGATTATGAGTCTTAATTAATTTGGATGACTGAGACATGAGTTACATATGGTTAACCACCGCCCACTCAAGTCGTGGAGTGTTGGATACCATATGAATAGGATTGAAAAAGATGAGGTAGTCAAATTAAGACTGACTATAGATATAAACAGGAAGGTACATATGTCTTGGTTAAGGTCTTCGTAATTATCATTGGTCTATATTTGATGACATCGGTGAAAGTCAGTTGTATAAAACCAGATGTATCCGTTCTGTATCCGTAGTTTTCGTATCAATCATTAGAATTCCTTGGATTCAAAACTTTTTCATGGTACATTTTTTGTTTGATTATATCATTTTCACGGGTACTACTATCATTTTGACGTTTATTAATTTTTATCCTGATTGTTCTCTTTCCGACTGTGTTGTTAGGAAACATGGTAGCTTGAACCTATGTTTGTTAATGCCGAATTGTACTTTGTCTACGATTAACTGAGCTTATTGTTACTTCTACTACTACGGAATTTGTATTGATAATCTCAAATGTCTATGCCTATATAGTGTGGCAGCCTGAACTGACGGACATATGTGTCAAGTTTTACATTGTTTATGACTTACGGAGCGAGTACGTCGAATTCATTTATTAACTGAAGTAAGGTTGATATATGTGTACCGTTGGGAAATAGATACAATAGCTTAAAATTAAGCGTTAGTGAATATCAACAGATATTTCATTTCAGTGTATCATACAAATTCTCTTATTCAACGAACTTATTTATATCCTTCTCTTGAATCATGTACATGTGTATGTTATCACAATTGATTGATCACTGGGTGGCGATCAATGTCATGCGTGTCTAGTCCTTATTAGTGCAGATCGAATGCTATCTACCATGTTGCAATGTGGCCACCAGTCTAGGTGACTCGACACTGCGGGCACTATATATTGAGATTAGATGGTGGCTGGAGGTAGTCGACAGGAAACCCTGGACCCGGGTTTCGTGCTACTTGGCACTCGTCAGCAGGGTGTACCTGTAATCTTGAGGGAACTGTTGCTCCCTGACGGATTCGATCCCGTGTCACCTAGCTTCACAGTCAGAGACGTTACCACTGGACTATCTAATCTATAAGATCTTACATGGAAGTCGCATCATTGTCTATACTGACTCGTCCTACGTAATAATCAGCCCCCGTAAGATTACAGGTACACCTTGCTGACGAGTGCCAAGTAGCACGAAACCCGGACCCAGGGTTTCCTAACGACTACCTCCAACCACCATCTAATCTCAACATGTGTATGTTAGAGGAAGGTGAGGGTATTTATAATATTTTATCCATCTATTTAATGACCACTTTCATAACAAAACAATCAATGAAAACTTGATTGGGCTGTTTACTGATGTTTGAAATAAACAAATACATTGACCTATTCTATTTTATACTGATTTATTACATACCCAATAGTTTTTGCTATGATAGAAATGACTTAATTATGTAATGAGTAAAGGAATAATTAAACAAAATTACAATTAAAAGTTTATTTACAGGATGTTTCTTATTTTTTCCCATACTGATTGTTTAAATTGAATCATATATCCTGTTGTTACATTGAAATCTATGACATTTCAAAGTGAAACGATTTGATTTTCAGTTATTTTGTTTTCTAAATTTGAATATTAGTTTATAATCTTAGCTAAACTGATATATTTGGTCATTCATAGTTTAAATATAAAGTATAGAATATAAAATGGAATGGATTAGTCTATACTTGACTATTGAATTCTGTAAAAGCAAATTGTTGATTTATACAACCAAGTCTGTTGTGAGGTATCAGCTCAGTGAAGACAATAGTATACGATGGTACAATTTCGTGGATTGGTTGAAGTTAGACATTAACACCGTTGGATGTCGGTCAGCGCAGTGGTCTAGTGGTTAAGCGCTCGCGCGCGAAACTGACGTGTCCTGGGTTCGAATCTCGCAGGGGCGGCCGGGATCGTGGATGCACACTGTTGAGGATTCTCACAATGTGACGAAACGGCCGTCCAATGCTCCCAGGTTTTCTATAATGGTCTAGATTAAATTGACTTATGATTTCAACTAGTGAAGTTTCTAAAATCTCCACAAAATCCCTTCTGATATTTATACAAGTATCATAACGCCATAACTCTTATTCCAATCAAAACCTCATTGTAAGTGGTTAGAAGTAGTTAGAAAGCAACATGTTATGTAGGTTACTTGTTAATTGGAAC